TCAGTATTATGTTTAAAAAATACATTTAAAATTTTTAAAATAGCATTAATACAATTTATCTTTATAAAATAAATTTTTACGCTCAGTATATCAACCAAAACCGTCTATCAAGTGGGTATGTTTTGAATTTGATATTTTCTAACATTATTAAATTTATTATTATTATTTTAAATGTTTAAGTATATTATTGAAATTAGACCGAATATAATTATTAAGGGATTTTAAAAAATTAGTGAAAGCTTATAAAAAGAAATTGATATTTTATCTTAAATTTCAGCTTTTTTTTTTTTTTTTTTTAATAGAATAATAGAGAACTATGGGTTAAAACGATTCCCAATGATTCACCTTTTAGATCCAAAAACTGTCGTGCTTATTTGGACGCCTCTCCTTTCCGAATGTCCACACCCATGCGTGACCACTTTTTCCTAAAGTGCTTCTCATGTGCTCACCAACCAGCCAGCCTAGCCATTCCATCTCCGTCTCCGTCCAAGTATATTGCTAATAGATATCGTAGCTTTAGTCCGTAATGTATTGTTATTAATTTTATGATTTTTAAAATGCATCTACCGAAAAGAACGGAAGTTTCTATACCCTTATGAGAAATGATTCGTTTTCTTCTTCAACCGATGTGGAATCTCACAATTCTAGATCACTATCGTATCTCTTTGTAAAAACGCGAGTAAAATTACAAAGATTACGTTTTTTAACCCTCCGAGCGACAAGATGTTACATGAATTCGTCTTATATTGTTTGTTGGGTTAGTCCATTTTCTTCTTCTCCTTGTGTTTGTTATGAGAGAATTAGTGTTCTATTTTGCCTACTTTTGTATTGATTAGAACTCTACTTAGCTATTGTTCTTCAATATCCAAACACTTCCGAGGCCAAGCTTAGCAATGGCTGCAACGAACTTGGTGCAAATTTTCTCGCAAACAGGGCGCAAATGGTGGAGCTTTGATCGTTGTAGCTGCAGTTTCCTTCTAAAACTCCTGCTAAGAACTCTTTCGTAATGTCATGTCCTCCGAACGTGGCAGGGTGAGCGCCTCCTCTCGACCAGTCGACCCATGTGACGCTTCTGTTGGCTATACTGTTGCCAAATTCGATCGTGAGCATTGTCGGGAAATAGTGTTCGTCGACGTAGCATGGCGGTTGACAGAATTCTTTGAATTTCCGATAAAATTTGGTGTCTTGCACTATGTTGAGCGCAAGCTTACGGTCGACTTCAAACCATTGGGCGCCCTTACGCCATTCTGTGATGTTCACCTCTGGTGCCATCTCGAGCCTATATCGTCCTCTTCCATAAGGACCAAGGTCGTCGAACGAACCCACAAAACTATATTTGGAGTTCTTTAAGTAGTTGTATATCACACTGAAATTATAGAGAGGAATGCATGATTCGGAAACAAGAATGAACCATTCGTTGTTGATATCGAGCAATGCATTGGCTAGAAGTCGTCTCTCCGCGTCGCACATACTCATTCGTCCCCATTCTGCAACCTGACAAGAAGAACAAGTATTCATCACAGGACTCCTAAATGTATAGCATCAAAAGCTTGGTGGGTTAGCTGCAATTCAGGATGAACACAGATTACACATCAATAAAACAGCCAGCATCATTCAGACCATTTAACATGTTAAAACGGGTCTGCTCGAGAGTGTGCGATCTCACAATCCACCCAATTCGGGACACAACATCCTTGCTGGCACACCACCTCGTGTCCACTCCCTCAAACCCCAACTTCCTCACTGGCACATCGCCTGATGTCTGACTTTAATACCATTTGTACCAGCCCAAGTCCAGGCCAACGGATGTTGTCCTCTTTTGGGTCTTTGGGGTCTTCTTTCGAACTTCCCCTCCGAGTTTTTAAAACACTTATGCTTAGAAAGAGGTTTAGACACACTCATAAATAATGTTTGGTTCTACTCTCTAAACGTAACCGACCCAAGAATCTCACATAAAAACATCAGCAAAGAACAGGGTAACACGACAAAATGATCCTTAAAGAGCTCATAAAGCATCAAACAACAAGATGAGACCAAAACGCACCTGGCTGGGAATTTGTCTCCCATGAAACACAGAATCGTGAGTAAAATTGGGTGTGAACGATGGCAGAGAATGAATGTAAATTGAAAACAGCCCTTGATGGCCCTTAAAAAACCTCTCCCAAAGCGGCGCAAGTGGCAATGGCCCTTTAGTCAAGAACATAAAACCCACCTTCGGAACCCTTTGGAAGGGGTAATTCTTAATCCTCGGTACAAACGATGCACGCCAAAACAGCTCCTCATCGTTCATCGAGTGCATCAAATCCACCGGAGCCTTAATCCACTCACCCAAACTAACATTCAACTCCTCCAAACAGGGAAGGAAATTAGACTTCACCGCCGTCACTGTGCTTTCAATCCCAAAATGACGGATCGTATACAAACTAACAACCGAAAACCCAATGCAAAGAACCAAAAACAACACGAATAGCTGAAGCAACCTCAGCGGCAGCGGCCGAACTTGGTTGGTCCGGCTGACAGGTGCAGGCTCTTTCCCTTCCTCCACTGCCATAACTCTCGATCAAAATCGAAATTACCCTTGTGGGTGTTGCTGTTCTTCACTAAGTCTGAAGCCAAATAAACGCCAACGCCGCTACCCTTAAAATCTACGCCGGTGATCGGCTTTTCTTACAACAAAAAACAACCCAGAAATCCTAATTGCAGAATTTGGCGGTGAATCGATGAAAGTGAAAAGAAACTAAGAGATTGAAAAGTGAAACGAAACGTGATGGGAGAAACTTGAAGAATATCTTTCCCAGAATTTGCGCCCACGCAGATTCGAAGAGATGGTGCTTCTCAGTTACGCCTGCGCCTCTGTTGCTTTGAATGGAATCCTTTCTATTTGAACTAACTCCCACTTTTCTTTTAGTTTTATTTTTTTTTTGGTTACTTTACCAATTATAATAATTTTTAAAAAATATATTATCTAAATTTTTATTTTTTAAATACTATTTTTACTTTAATGTGTATTTTATTTTCTTCTTTTTTTGAAGTTCTATTTATGGTGGGTTGTTTCTCTATATTTTAAACAGATTATACATTTTATAGTAAGCTTGAAATAAATATTGTTTTTTTTTTTTGTTCACTTCTCCAGTAAAATTACTATTTTAAATATATCGTCGACAATAAATTATCTACATTTTATAAATGGATTATCTACATTTTATAAATTATCTCTATTTACTGTCTTTTTTCAATATTCTTTTTTTTTTTTTTTTTTTTTTTTTTTTTTTTTTTTTTTTTTTTTTTTTTTTTTTTTTTTTTTTTTTTTT